TTGTCAGGACTCCTAGAAGAGACTTCCATGCCTGCAATTCTGACTCTGATCACCAGGTGGCATCTTTTGCCATTTAATACAGGTTATTTTTATCCCAATGAAAAGTCATAATTTAAATTAAAAAAAAGTCATAATTTTTATAAACAGAAAATGTTTCCTTCAAAGCAGATTATGAAATAGTAAGTACTGAGTGATCGTAACTCTCTTTGAAAAATTCATGTTTATAAAAAAGACTAGGGGCCCAGCACACAAATTTGTGCACCTTGAAAGGAACTGTGGGCTGCAAGGCTGCAGTGGGCACAGGGGCAGGTCTTGGCCTATTCTCCAAGCCCACGCCCAGCCTTTCCCGCCATGGCCCCCAGTTCTCTGTCTGCCGGCAGCCCTGCTCCTGTGGCTGCTGCTCCCACACACTGATGGTGCCAGCCCCGCTCACACCCACTGATGGCACAGAGCGATTGGTGCTGCATCATCAGCGGGTGCGAGTGGGGCCAGCGCCGTGAGTGGGTGTGAGCAGCAGCTGCTGCCCCAATTGCCCCTCAGGAGCAGGGGGAGGTAGAGAAGCCCTCAGGGGCAGTCAGGGCCAGCAGCCGCCGTTCTCACCCGCTGAGGGCGCTGAGCGATCGGGACCAGCACCGGGCACTGGCAGCAGGTGCAAGCGGTGGTTCTGGCGCTGGCTGCTGGTGCGAGCGGAGCTGTCATTGGCAGTGGGTGCGAGAGGTGGCTGCTGGCCCCGATCGCCCCTCAAGAGCAGGGGGAGGTGGAGAAGCCCTGAGGGGTGATGGGGGCCGGCAGCTGCCGCTCGCATCCACTGATGGCGCTGAGCGATTGGGGCCCGTGCTGGGTGCTGGCAGTGGGTGTGAGCGGAGCCGGAGCTGGTGCGGCAGCAGGTGCGAGCGCTGGGCGGGACCATGGCACTCGGGAGCAAAGAATTTTCAGTAACTAGGCTCACCCCGATGACAGCGACAGGCTTGGTCTGGTGCCCCCGCTCACCTGCTTCACCATCCTGCCATGGCTGATGCCCGCAATGTTCCGCACGTGCCCCCTGGTGGTCAGTGCACGTCATAGTGACCGGTTGTTCAGTTGTTCCGCCGTTCGGTCTATTTGCTTATTAGGATTTTATATATGTAGATTGAGATGATAATCTTATTCTGCTTATTCCTGCATCTATACCTCATTAATTGATTAATGTGTGCTGGGTGTTTACTGGGCCAGGCATTGACATGTCAGTGGAATTCCATAATTGCATCCTGCACCTTGCTTCTTGATCTCTAGACCTGAAATCTGAAATGTTCACAGGGAGCAAGATGGATATTAGTGTCTACCCTATGGTGTCTGACGTAAAATGGACTCCATTCCAAGCAAGTTTGGTCCTGAGTCCTGGAAATTCAGCATCTAAGGAGAAAATCATGTGATTGAAAAGGGAGAACTTGAACCTTGGGAAAGTGCTGTACCTGTAACCCACCCCTCCCTCCTCGTGCGTAGCACCAACAGGCTCCTACCTTCTCTTCACAGGTCTTCACTCACAGACAGATTACGAAGAACAAGGTAACCCTTGTCAGGTTTCAATATTGCTTTTTCTCATGGCAGGAACTACCTACAGCTTTTACTTTTTACTTTAGCCCTTTATTAGGTCACAGTGGTGGATTCCCAAACCGGTTTTGTACCTGCCTTATCCCTAGAGGGAAGTCACTCCCCCTTGTATTGTGAGGTGACATGGAGTTTCTGCTTCATGTTAAGACCTCCTCTCTCAGTTGGGAGGGCCTGGGCCCAGATCCAAGGAGACAGAAAGGAGTAGAGCCAGAGTTCTCAAAGACAAGCACAGGACTAGGAACCTTGTACAAAGATCTAATTCTCCTGATTTAGTGAAATGGTTTTCACAGATTTCTCACATCATATTCACCTCCCCTCAGGGTTCCTCTTAGATAGTCTGTGAGGAAAGAGGTAGTCTCATTCATTGCTGGAGACAATGTAAAATTCCTGAGGAGGGGATTTGATATTATCTAGTAAAATTACATACATATTATTGGAATCAGAAATCACTCTTCTGACAATCTATCCCAAAGAAACAATGCAAAAGGCAAAAGGGCATAAGTGCAAAACTATTCCTTGCAGAACAATTCATAACAATAGGAGACTAGAAACACCACAAATGTCTACCAATAAGGGACTAGTTGAATAATTTAAGATATGTCTACATCCTAGAGTACTATGCAGCTTTAAAATGAAGACTCCCTCTCTAAACGGCTACATAGTAATCTCCAAGATACATTGTTCAGTGAAAAATAAGGTGAAGAAAAGTGTGTAGAGCTGCTCCTGTCCAATACAGTAGCCACTCACTTACTTTACATTTAATAAATCAAATTTAAATAAAATTGTAAACTCAGTTTCTCACTAGTGCTCACCAGGATTTATATCAGACAGTGCAGCTACAGAACGGTTTCACTTCCACAGAAATTTCTATTGGACTGCATTGGTGTAGAATATGCTACCTTTTACTTCTGAACAGAACTTAAAAAAACTAATACACATGCTGTATTTGATTATATTTTCAGAAACTGGAAGGATAAACAAAAACTGATAAAAGTGATTACCTATAAGGGGACAGAGGAACAGCCCATGATGGAAGCCAATGATGTATATATTCTCTTAAAAATACAGAATAGAATTTCTGGTTCCAATCCTGCATGTAAGAAGATGGAAGTTGACAATCCATTCTAACAAGTTAAAAAGGTGAGCAAAATATTGCTTTGTGTTTTGGTCTTTACAAGGATAAATTGTCCAGATTTTTTAAAAAAAAATCTACTGCAGAGACATGGGCTAGCTGGCTGTGTGATCTCAGAAGTTTGAAAGAACCCCTCTGTGCTTCAGTTTCCTCTTCTGTAGTATGAGGAAACCAATCATTTCTACCTTATGGGTTGTGGTTTTGAGAATTAATTCAGTTAGTACATGAAAACACTTAGAACTCTGCTAGGCACACAGCAATAGCTCAAAAATTTCTAGCTGTTTTTTAAAAAATAGAATGTGATATTTTTATAATTTTATAGTTTGCATATGTGTTTAAAAGATTAAGTCTTACAACCGATTGATAGATCTCAGAGGGAAGGTGGTAGGGGTGGGAGGCTGGGAAGAGATTAACCAAAGAATTTATATGCATATATGCATAGCCCATGGACACAGACAATAGTGTGGCGAAGGCCTGGGGTGGGGTGGGAACTGAGTAGAGGGGGCAATAGGGGGAAAATGGGGAACATCTGTATACTCTCAGCAATATGGATGACAAAGAGTCTTACAACTGAAAATTATGCATCAACTGATGCATGTTTTAAATCACTAGTTTTCAGGATAACCACTCTTAGGTACCCAAGTGATTATCATGAGAACATCTCTAAAGCACTTGGACCAACTGATCTCAGGAAACTCTACCACCATTTCTGTATGTGGCTGAACAGAAAGGCGAGGGCTCACCCAGGATCCTGCCTGCTCCTCACGTGCCCTCTACGCACAGCCACTGCAGGTGCCCCACCTGCAGCACACCCTGTCCAGGGCCACCCCTGTCCTCTGCACACTGCTGCAGCACTGGGCCAATCCACCCTCGTCCCTCACCTGGAGGCTGCATAGTTCCCCTAATGGTTATCCCCACAGCTATCTTGTCCTTGACAGTCCATTCTCCACACAGCAGCCAGTCACCTTCTGAGAACATGAATCAGAGCATGTCACTCCCACACTCCACCCTCCACCCTCAGAAGAAAACTCCTTGCAAGGCCCAAATGATGTGGCTCCTGTCTGCCCTTTGACCTCCTCTCCTATCATCTGCACTTTGCCAGGCTCCAGCCACCGGAGCTTGGTGTCTTCTCCTGGAACACCTGGTGCCATGCACATCGCAGGGCCAGCGACCCAAAGACATGCCAGGCCTGCTTTACTCTTGTCATGAAGGACTCAGTTCCAATGTCACTTCCTGAGAAAGACCTTCACTGACAGCCCATCTATAGTAATCCCTGTCCCCATCATTCTCTACCCTATTTATGTTTGCTTTCTTCAAAGCACTCATCCCCATATGAAATTGCCATGCTTACTGAGGTGTTTACCTGCTTACTGCCTGTTTTCCCAAACTAGAATGGAACTCCAGGGCTCCTGCCTATGTTGCTCTCTGTGCTGTGTCCCCCGTGCCTCCTTCAGTGCTTCATATATAAATCTGTGACTTAATATTACATAAATAAACAAATTGCTACCTATTTGTTGACAGGAGCAGACACAGATATTTAAATTTGAGTTGCAGAAGTTGACAAGGAAATTAGACATCAAAGGATTGAAAATTTTAAGAAGTGTTCGTTGCAAATTCAGAGCAGTGCTTTTTAAACCTGGATGAATACCAAAAACAATTGGAGTTATTACTCAAACTGTACACACCTTCTCCCCACCACCCTGGTTCTGATTCAGCAGACCTAGAGTAGACCAAGGAATCTGGAATTTTAACACGCACTCACTGATGATTTTAATGAAGTGGTCTGAGGACCACACTTGGAAAAATCCTGACCTAAACAGCTGACATTTGTGTATCATTAATTTAATGTCTACCATGCAGAGTTCTATAGTATCTGAGGTATCTCTGTTAATGTAATTACTCAAAAGTGCACTGGTCCTTCCCCCCTCCTAAAACCACAGTGTGCTTTCCTACCTGGATTAGACCTTAACTCCACAATGTTCCTAGGTGGCTGGCAGCATTGGGTATTGTTATCCTGTTGAATAGAAGACACTGGAGGAAAGGGTGGTGACTTACCTGAAGGGTCCCTATGATGGGAATCCTCACTCTCACTCCAGGAGTCTGTCTAACACACTTGACATCACACTTGGTTCTTCTCCATCAGAGTCCACACCCTTCTCTGACTTTCTACTAGAAGGGAGAGTCAGGGGATAAGATAGCACATGGACAGAAAGGAACATGAGAGGACGGGAAAGCGCATGAAATGCAGGGAAAGGGGTGAGGATGTACTTGCCTGTTCCCACTCAGTTCACTGGAGGCTGTGCAATGACGTCTTGCCTCTTCCCCAGCTGATCACACCCCTCACAGCAGTGACACTGAAGCTCACACATCGTGGAAAGTGGGCTCATCCCTGCTTGCTGTTACATGTCCCAGTGTTCTCTCTGGCAGTCATGTTATCATGCTAATGCCAGGGGCATCACACTGACAGGGAAAAAAGTTAAACTGGGAATGGAGAAATAAAATTTAGCAAGGGCATATTATGTGCCACAAATTATAGGTTGTTATTTTCAGACTTTTTCTCTTCAATTTCTCAAAGTGATGCTCTGAGGTGGGCATATTTACCTCCTTTCTATAGAATTGGAGATAACCTCAGACAGCAAAGTACATGTTCAAAGGAGGTGTCAAATGGACACAGCAGCCACCTTGAAGGCACTTTCATTGGCCAAATCTGAGACAATTTTTATAATAATTATTTTTTATTATTTTTTTTAAATCCTCACTCTACCTGAGGACATGCTGAGACAGAGAGAGAGAGAGAGAGAGAGAGAGAGAGAGAGAGAGAGAGAGAGAATCAGTTGCCTGTTGTATGTTCCTGACTGGGGATCAAAACTACAACCCAGGTATCTGCCCTGACTGGGAACTGAACCAGCAACCTTTCAGTGTACAGAACAATGCTCAACCAACTGAGCCACTGCAGCCTGGCAACAATTTGAGCATCAAAATAAATAATTATAGTGTCAGATGGTAACCCTTAGAGCAAAATTGGAATCTATGAATTATAATGATATCCTATAAAATAAAGAGGTAATATGCAAATTGACTGTCACATCCTCGCACAAGATGGCCACCCCCAGGTCAAAGATGGCCGCCAGAAGATGGCTGACAGGGGAGGGCAGTTGGGGGTGATCAGGCCTGCAGGGGAGGGCAGTTAGGGGCGACCAGGCCAGCAGAGGAGGGCAGTTGGGGGTGACCAGGCTGGCAGGGGAGTCATTAGGGGATGATCAGGCTGGCAGGCAGAAGTGGTTAGGGGCAATTAGGCAGACAGGCAGGGGAGCGGTTGGGAGCCAGCAGTCCTGGATTGTGAGAGGGATCAGGCCTAAAATGGCAGTTGGACATCTCCCAAGGGGTCCCATATTGGAGAGGGTAAAGGCTGGACTGAGGGACACCCCCTCCCTACTGTACAAATTTCATGCACTAGGCCTTTAGTACAAAAATAAATAAGTAAGTAAGTAAATAAATAAATAAATAAATAAGAAGAGAAAGCTCTACCTCCAGTTAAATTTCAATTAATAAACCTGGAAAGAATGAGAGAATTATAAGAGTAATATTTGACAACAGAGTAATAGGTGATTCAGGCTAGAATTATAAAATGATGCTCAATCTGTGCCAGCCCACACTGCAGTCAAGAGCCACCATGGTAACCATGCTGGCCAAGTGAAGCTGTGGAAAAAAACCACTACTATTATTTGGTTCCTATTATGTGTTATGAAGTGAATAGGACTGACATGATCACAGTAATTCAACTCAAGTATTCCTCACAATAATGACTCCTAGCAGCTTCAGCAATCTACACACATACAAACATACTTACTCATACATGCTGTCTCTTTCCATCTGTCTCACCATCCAAAAATCCAGGAATTCATTGAGGTGGATTTGCTGGGAGACAAAAAAGAAAACCCCCACAATTCAACTGGTTCCATTCTAACCATACATATAAAGTTGAAAGTTACCATAAGTATTTTCTTTTAGTGATTGATTTTTCTGGTGATGACCTGTAGAATTTTCTCTGTGACATTTTTCTCTCTAGTATCAGTACATTGCCAATGATGCCTAGAAGCTGATATAGAAACACAGTCAAATTTATATTGTGCATGAAGTAGCTTTTCCATCCTAGAATAGCTTGTGCTTTTGACCAAAAAGATCATGCTATTATTAAACATTTGGCTGCTGACAGGTCAGTAAAAATATAATAATTGGGAATTCTCTTTACAAATAATGCCTTTTATAATAGTATCGAAAAGTATGAAATGCTTATGGATAATCTGTCTACAGATATGCAAAGCCTATTCATTAAACACTACATGACATTGCTCAGAAAAATTGAAGAAAATCTAGGTAAATGGAGAGAAAACTATCTTTGTGGTTCAGAAGACTCTATATTATAAAGGTATCACTTCACCCCAAATTGATCTATATATAGTTTATGCAATCCCAATAAAAATCTAGCAAATATATTTTTTAAAGAATCAACAGGCTAATTCTAAAGTTCATGTAGAAATTCAGAGGCCTTAAAAGAGCAAATATTTTTTAAAAAAAAGAAATGCAGAAGACCTAGACTATGAAAAATAACTTAGAAAAATGAAGTTGGAGGATGAATATTCCCAGATTTGAAGACTCATAATAAACCTACCATAATCAAGGTAGTGTGGTATTATAAATTAAAATTAAAATTTGATACCATTACAACTTCACAAGAATTGCTAAGATTAAAAAGACTGTCCATACCAAGCACTGTCAAGGTCACAGAGGATGAAACTCATATACACTGCTGGTGGCAATGAAAAATGGTACAACCAGTTTGGCAGTTTTTTAACAATGGTAGTCTCACATCTACCATCTGATTCAACCATTGCACTCCTAAGAATTTACCCTCGAGAAAGAGAGCATGCAAAAACTTATACACCAATGTTCATTGGAGCTTTCTTTAAAAAAACAAATTTAGAAAAAATTATATCCATATATTCATCATAGTATAAAAAGAATGAACTATTATACATGCAAAAAATGGATACTCTAAATAGGCTGAATGAAAGTAGCCAGGCCAAACCTAACAAAACAAAAAAGTTTGATTCTACCTAAATAAAATTATAGGACACAAAAACTAATCTATGGTGAGAGAAGATCAATGGTTGCCTAGGTACACAGCAGAGTGAGGGGGAGGGAGGCCAGGTCATAAAGAACTGAAACTGGTATGTACTGGAAAAGTAAACATAACTATATTTAAGAGTATCTGGTTATTTTAAGAGATAATGGCTAGGTATCAGTATAATAAGACATGCTAAAGTAATTATTACTTAAAATAAAAATTTCTTATAACTGACATTTTAAAATAACATTTGGAAAAATTCCTGACTTGCTAAATGTTTTAATTATAGAATAGATAAAAATGTGTGGGCCAGGGAAGAAACTATATAACAATCTCAAATTTCTAGGAAGACTTTCTAACCAAATGTATATTTCAACACCCATCTAAAAGAAACATGGAAATCATTCAATCATATTACTAGTGAGAACCATTTGGTCTATTTATTACAAATGCATGTGAAAGATCACATTTCTTCCTCAGGATGGACAATTTATTACTTTCAGACAAAAGTGGACATGTTTAAGGTGGGCCTCCGGGCTACTACAAACCTTGTAGCTACTGATGGAATGACATTCCACCGGCTAAACCGCTTTTCTGTCCCACCCCCATGAGATCAAAGCAGCTTCTCTACTTTGAGGCTGGTGTGTGACCCTCACAGGAGCGATCCCACTACATGCTTTTATCGGGTCTATGAACTCAGTGGAGCCAGGTGTCCTGTCCCACTGCGGATGTGAAGTGTCAGGGTCTCCTGAGGACCACTGTCCTGGAACCTGGAGCAGAAGCCTCAGCAGCCACCTGGACACAGATCTTCAGAACCTGCCTCCGTCAGACACCTGAGAGGAGCTGGGCCGCCGGCATGAGGGGCTGCTCATGTGGGGAGAGACAGATCCAGCATCACCATGCTTTCGTGGTGTAACTAAGTGCCCCCACCAGGCGAGGCACTGGGTTGGTGACACTGACACTAACACAAGTGGGTAGTGGTCCTAACAACCAGATGTGATAACGGGCTGCTCACAGAGCCCTTTCTCCTTCCCTCCTCTATCCCCTAACAACACAGTTGGAAAGGAGTAAGGAGTGGCCTGGATTCATACAGGCATCATGATCCCCCAATAACCACAGGGCCGAGGGCTTACTCATGTGTCATCACTCCACGTTCACAGCCACCCTGTGGGTTAAACATTCTTATCCCGGGTTCACAGAGGGGGGCGCTGGGGCTCAGAGAGAGTCCTTACCAGTCTTACCTCAGGAGCCCCTGCCTTTGGAAAGTAGCTGCAGGACACCACACTCACTGGAGCCTGGCGGGACCACACTGGCTTTACCTATGAGACCACCGGGGGACCGAACCCTAAAGCGGGAAAGAGGAAACTTAGATCTGGATCTCCTTTGTCTTCCGACATCCCAGGACGATTCAACCCCCACGGCCAACACCCACAACCTCTGAGTCCCCAATGTCTGAAGGCGGGGCCTGCTTTTTGGCCAGGCCAGGTCTCTTTTAAAAAGTCGTCACAGTCGCCATGTTGACGTCAGGTTTCTATGGCAACCAGGATGCGAAGCCTCATTCTTCATATCAGAAATGCCTTCGCACATCCTTCCACCCCCTGGCCCTTAGCTGGAAGCAAAACACCTTTCCTCTTCAGGCCGCTATGGGAGCAAGCACACTAATTAGAGGCACTAGACTGGGAGCCAGACAATTGGCGGAACTCTGCCCGGTTTGTTGAAACATGAGCCTGTTGTCAGGAATTGTTTTTTATTTACAATGAGACTGTGGCCCTGGCCGCTGTGGCTCCGCTGGTTGAGCATCCTCCCATGCACTGAGAGGTCGCAGGTTGGATTCCTGGTCAGGGCACCTGTCCCGATTGCGGGCTCATCCCCGGTAGGGGGCATGCGAGGGGCAGCAAATCAATGCTTCCCTATCATCCATGTTTCTCTCTCTCTCTCTCTCTCTCTCTCTCTCTCTCTCTCTCTCTCTCCCTCCCTCCCTCCCTCCCTCCCTTTCCTTTCTCTGTCAAAAATCAAATATACACACACACACACACAGTAGGGGAGTATTATTAGTAAACAGAGACCCAGGGAGGAGCCTGTGGTTCTTAGAGATAAGCTAGCCTCAGAGAGTGAACATGCAAATCAAGATCTAACTGCAGCTTTGATTGGACAGGGAAGGTCTCAGCCCACTGGTCAAAATACAATTCCAGGAACTCCTTTATAAGGGCTGGCTCAGCAGGCAGGAACCCAGTGCAGGAGGCTTGGCAGCCTAGCCTGAGGCTTTTCCCTGATATGCAATGTGCTTCAGAGGCCTCTGTAAACAATTGCTGCTAGACTCTATGAATTTGTGCCCTGTTAACCACAAGGAGTCCTTTTGGTAGGTATATTTTTCTTGGGGTTCAACAAAAATCATAAGCCATCATAAGCAGTTAGCCATCTGTGGCAGAGAACTAATAACTGTGTATAATCATGTGACTTAATGATATAGAAACATACACACATAACTTCATTTAAGCAATTTGGGAATTATTTCAAGGAAGCAGGACTAGAATATTGTAGTTACTTAGTAGGCAGAAACTTAGTCACTTGAACATTTGGTTTGTCATGGGGAATTTCGATCATCCCTGATAATTTTTTTTTATGCGGAGGGGCATCCATACCCCAAACACTTCTATTTTCTCTATGCACTCAATTCTTTATCACGGGAATAACCTGATTAGTGAGACTGGAAAGAGAAAAACATTACACAGCCCAAACCCTCTCCCTTTAAAACTCTTGGTGGTAAGTTGCCCTTATGAAGCAAATCTTCTGCTCTGCCCTCAGGAGTGGATCTTACAATTGACTCCGAGTTCTTCTTTCCTTTCTGTACCTTGCTGGCTCCTACCTATTCCTCTGGCCTTGCTCCAAAATGCTTATGCTTTAAAGCTCCCCCATCCCATACATTCCTGCTGTATGTCTGAGCTCTAAACCAACTAAGAAATATGAAAAAAGAATAAGGAGAACAATGTATCTACTTTATTCCTTATAAAAGTGATATTAGAGAAAGTGGTTTAGATCTGCAAGCAAGTCATTTCCTATTAATAAACCCTAGAATTGGACAGACTTATCCACCTAGCAGTGCTGCATTGGGACAGTTACAAAGGCCAAGGGCTGAAATACATATCCATCTGCTGTCTGGTAAAGGAACCCTGTCTATGAGTGCCCAGTGAAAGAAATTCCTTGTAAAGCTGTCCCTGTGGCAAGATAAAGTAAGATCACTTCTTAAAGGGATACTTCCCAAAGTGAATAAATACTCCTTGTTCTGTTTAAATCAGCGGTTCTCAACCTGTGGGTCGAGACCCCTTTGGCGGTCGAACGACCCTTTCACAGGGGTCGCCTAAAACCATCCTGCATATCAGATATTTACATTACGATTCATAACAGTAGCAATATTACAGTTATGAAGTAGCAACGAAAATAATTTTATGGTTGGGTCACAACATGAGGAACTGTATTTAAAGGGCCAGAAGGTTGAGAACCACTGATGTAGACTAGAGTGTCATGCAGGGCAAAGGGATAGGAAATGGGGCAAAGAGAGAGGCTCCTCAAAATGTGCTATTTTCTTCAGTGAAGTTTTGTTTAACTGAATCGAATTGAATGTAGTCACTGAATATAGAATTTGGGTGAGCCTGCAGCATCACTGTTAAAGTAATTCCTTGGACTTGCATGGAAAAGCATTTTCTTTTGGAAACTTGGTGTTTTTCTGGATGGAAATTACTTTATTCTCTGGCCCCATCCTAGCTGGCTGGGACAAAAGGCTGGTGTGTTCCTCTTGGACAGGTGAGGCCACATGGGTGAGGTGGCAAGTCCAAGGTCTTCCCAGAGTTAGGAGGTGAGGCCTGCCACCAAGACCCAGGGAGATGCCCTGGCTTGTACTGCAAGGTCCTTTCCAAAATACGCAGAAATAGCTTTGACCTGATATAGCCCCTCACCTTTCAAGGTATCAAGGGAAAACTGTTTCTCTGAAGTTACCTGCAGGGAGAAGTAAGGGAACATGACAGCGCACGGCACAAGAGGAATCAGGATGGTGATTTTCTTCCTTTCCTCCAAATCTTCCAGGGAGGAGAGAAGAAAATAGCACATTTCGAGGAGCCTCTCTCTTTGCCCCCTTTCCTATCCCTCTGCCCTGCCCTTTGTGATAGTAGAGAAATGTAGACAGAAGTCAGGAATCTGGGGTGCCCTGAGAGAGGGACAGAAAAATGGAAAGTGCCTGACAACCAGAATGGTGCATCAGGAAACACAGGTACAGGAGCCCATCCCTGGGGTGTAGATTCATCCACCAAGCTCTCAGTCTCCATCTGCTTCTGCTGTGGTGCCGTCACTACCACATAGCAATGAAGCTTGCACATAACACAATGCATATTGTTGAAGAGGGGCTAAGAGGAGCGAAGTGACTTACCTGTGAGATGTGAATGTCAGTTACTGTTCGGGGCCTGGCAGTGGCACCCAGAGAAATCTCCTGTCTCTGTTGCTCCAATTTCCTATCTAGCAGACATGTATTAGGATTTGATCTCACTCTTCAGGAGCGCAAGGGAAACACTCTTCTCTAAATAAAACAAGGGGATAAGAAAAGGGGACAGGAAAACATATGGAAGGGGGTGGGTGGTGACTTGATTCCCTTACCCCAAACTCCATTCATAGGGTATGTGACTCAATTGAATGGAACTGGTGTCATCGTGTTCTTCCCTTCCACAGCCCAATCAGAGCCCTCATTCCACCACATAGAAGTGGTATTGACTCGAAGTCAACATAGAAAGGTACATGTTTTCATTCCTCTCTCCATGTGCTCTCCAGATCATGCTGCACCTCATATGCATTCACATCTGTAGTTCACACTAGTAATGGAGGAAAGTCTTCCAGATTCCTGACTCTCAGCAGGTCATCCTCAGAAAGTGTGAGTTCCTCTTTCCTGTCCCTTTAAATGTGCTGCTCAGCCTCTGTGTTTGCAGGCCCACTGAGGCTAAAAGGAATGGGGCTAAGGCCCCAAGTCAGACACTGACTGTACCGTCCCTGCAATCCCAGGGCACTGGATGCCTCCTGATGAGCATCTTTGTGCGCCCGGGGGCTCAGTCCAGGAGAGCAGGGTGGTGGCAGGGTCCTCCTTTGGGAGGGGGCTGTTTCTGGGCAAGAGTTGGAACTCAGGTTCTGTTCAGTCCAGCAGTTTTATACATGGAGAGATTTACATATAGAGTAAGGTAATTTGTAGAGTAAATTATTTTAAAGGAATAAATGTGGGCCTCCTGGAAAAATGAGGGAAGATGCCTCCACTGAGGGCCAGGCAAAGGGCTTCTGAGAAATGACCCCCAATCCCTGAGACTCACTTGTGGGAGGATGGAAAGAGGGGCTTTGGATGAGGCCTTTCCTCAAGGGCCCTGGGGGAATAGGAATCTCATGTCCAGCATAATCCACCCAAAGCACAGGTAAGAATGTGTGGTGAAGCCCAGAAGAAGATATAGTAAAACCTTGATATAACGGAATAATTCGGGTGAGGGGGTGTCCGGTAAGCAGAAAGTCTGTTATTTAATAAAGTAGGTTTTCTGACTGCGTATGTTAAAAATTGACAGTTAGTTGATCTGTTTTTACTATGTAGATGTATATGTGTAATTAAAACTATGTATGCAAAGTTTAATTTCACAAAAAAAGGTTTTCTATATGTATTATAGTAATTTTAAATTTATACTGAATAGGTCTAGTAAATGTGTGCATTCACCAGTCACCTAGAGTAAACAAATGCACTCAGCTGGAGTGGCTTAGTGCCTGTCAGAGCCTTGGCAGGCAGGCCTTAAAACTGCTACTGAAAGTCATGCCGTGAGACAACAGAATCAATTATTGCGTGGGATGCGGTGTGATCACGTGCTAATCATTCACTGAAGCAGTGCCTCCTGGATTTGAATATGTAGACTATAGTTGTAGATATGTAATATTTATTTATGTTGGTGAAATTACTACATAACAGTGAATTAATAACAAAAATAACCATTAAGTTGAGGTCCTCAAAATCAAGTGTTTACTGTAATCACATGTGGTAAAGCAGTGGGTGGATGTTTCTGATGAAAGCTGCAGCATTTCTCATCCCTCCTGATGTGCTGGCAGGAGAGAACCACAAGTAGTTTTTCAGTACAAAATGGGAACACCAAACAAATCAGTCAGTGAATAAAGTTCCTAGGAAAACTAGCAGGAGCTCCCCTACACAAGGCTGAACTGAAGGACAAGAGTCTGAGGAGTAGCTCTGAGTGTTAGGGTAATAATGGGGGTGTCAGTGATGACGCTGTAGGTATGTAATAATGAAGCCACCTTGTTGCCAAGTCAACAGACAT